GTGTTGTCTGTGTCGTGTTGTCTTCCATGCTATATGTGGGCGTTGGTTGTACACGCACCTCAGTCAGTGCGACATAACTTCCACTGCGCAAAGGATTGTGGGTCAGAATGGCCAAAGAAGCACGCTGACATGCATACTGCGAAATATGACCAGATGTAGTAGAACATCCTGGTACTTTTGGCATACTGCATCTGACATACTATGTATTGGGACACACTAATTATTTTTCTGGCATACTAAATAGTATGGTAGTATGGGTATTGGAACGCAGGGTGGGTTATAAATGTGAGTATTTTCCTCGTTAATAGTTGTTTTAAAATTATTATAACCGTTGCATTATCTTAGTTTAACGTCATTTTATGGACTATAGACTTCTTTGTAGCGTAACACACGTTTTTGGTCGCGGGCGACGGCTTGCCTGTCCCACCGCACATAACCCCAGTTCTCTGATAACTGAGTATGCTGTCATTCAGTTACAAAGAGTAATTTTTCTCAGTGATAATGTAGTTGTTAAGTTGTTTTAATATACGCGAAATTTTTGTAAGATGACCGGACGGTGTCATCTCCTGTAGCTGTAGAGTCTGCGGCTGGTAACGTTACAGCTGCAGGTTAACGTTAGTGATCGTATTATCTGGTGACTTTCCGCTGAACAAGTTACATTGGTTGTTGTGGTAACTTACAGGTTATTTGGTTGAATATCTACTTATAACCCAAAGAGTGAAACGTTAACGTGGATGAAAGTCACCAGATAACACTTGTGTGACCATGTAAACAGCCTCACCAGTTCTGCTGGATGTTGACTACAGTATTTTTTGTGATAATACTTGCAATACTACATGAAACTAAACCAGTAACTTAACGAATATCTGACAGGTAGCCCAAAAAAATAAAAGTAATGTTGTTATCTCTGTTCCATTTCAGGGCCACCAGACAAAACACAAGTCCTGATTCATTTCAGGGCCACCAATGAAGACAAGTTTACAAAAAGCAAGCAGGCTCCAAAAAAACTATGGGAGTAAGTAATTTGTAAGTTGTGAACTGTTCATATTCATAACATTATTCTCAGTCACAATGGCAACTGTTCCCCTAATGATCAAGCATTCTGTTTCAATATGAAATCAGCACAGCTGCAGACTGCAGCAGATTGTTGTTTGGTAACTGTACATTTGTTTTGGAGCTGCCCCTATACTGTCACTTTTTGGGAAGATTTTGTCGAGTATATTCGTTGCAACATGTATGTTCTATTTTCACTACTGTACAAAGATGTGCTGTTTGGATTTTATGATGTCAGCATTTCAAAACAAAAACAATTCTGTATCATTAATCTATCTATTATCTTAGTGAAATTCCATATTCATAAGAGTAAATTTTGTAACAGAAAACCCTTGTTCAAAATTTTTATGAATGAAATGCAGCAATACTTAGAAACCATTCAGCACTCCACAAACTCCAAAGCTATAAAGACTCTGAAAATATGTAAACAATTTAATTGTTTGAGCTGCTGAACTTTTTTATTTATTTATTTGTTTATTTTATTTCTTTTTCTTTTCTCTTAACCCTGGCATATTTGTTCTGTTCATGTCTGTCACTGCTTGTTTTGTACAAGAATTGAAATAAAGTGTTGGAGTTTTGGCATATTGCTGCCCCCGACAGTCTTAAGACGTATCTGCCTTTGAGGGGTGTCCCATTTGAAAGTCACAAGATAGCCCTTAACACTTGGTTCTGAGGGCTAGTGAGATTGAGGGTTGAGTTTGAGAATTAAGATTGAGGGTTAAGATAGGAATTGGGATTGGGCCTTAAAGTCCCTATAGTGCAGACGGGGAGGTGGACGTGTCCAACAAACCCCAGAGTTTCACTCAGGAGGCTGGCGTTTGCTTCCTGTAGGAATGTGGTGCCAAACCATGATGTTTTTTTCTAAACCTAACAAGTGTAAATGAACACGCCGTTCCAGATCGTCACTAAACGCAGGAGGATTCTCAGCGCGTCATGTGTAGACGTGACATATGAACATTATCCTGCTTCACAGACATTACAGCTATAAAACATAACTTATGTTGCGTCCACACCAAACGAGATGCAAATGCTTTTGTTGCGGAGTTTGAACGCTAGAATATCTTGTACATAATTGACCTATGGCTAAGCCCCGCCCTCAAACACGATGAGCCAATCACAGTGCGTATAGCCATTCCCATACACTGGGACATTCTCTGCCTGGACGTCCATTGAAATGCATTACAGAAAGTCAGTTTGTTCGGTTTTATGAGCTTTTTCTGAGATTTGAAGTTTAAAAATGGTCAAACGGTGTGCATGGGGTACATGCAACTCTGACACAAGGTATCCTGAGAGGCTGGGCGACCAGGTGTATTTTTTACACTTTAAACCACATCTCAACCGAGAAAAGTGTCTCCTTTGGATAAAGTTGTGTGGTAACGTTAGACCACAACATCAACTCAACGTGAATAAGATTAACAATGATGTCTACATCTGTTCTAAGGTAAGTCAACATTGTGTTTGAGGCAACATATTGTCACTTTGCTGGAAAGAAATATAAAGTTATCTTTAACATCTCTAGCTAACGTTAGCTAAAGTTAGCCTAACGTTAGCTCCTAGCTGCGTTGTTCATCATGTCACCTTGTTTGCTGGGAGTTCATTAGCCTATTTTGTTCTAGTTTTGTACTTTGGTGATCGTACATCATTGTTAGCTGTTGTCCAAAGGGCTCTAGTTAAGCTAACGTTAACTTCTGGAGCTTAGCTTCATTAACTTATCTGTAATGGCAGAGATAACAAAGGTTGGCAAACGTTATGCTGAATGATTCAGTGTAAATACTGTAGCACCAAACTAACGGAGAGACACTCTTGGTAAAGATGGTAAAAAGGCCGTTATCCTTTTCTCATATTCTGAGCCAAAAACCTTAACTTCAGTGGCACTTTAACTTGTTGTCTTTGATGGCGACGGCAACCAGATGCGGTTCACAAGCGTACACTGTGACCTGTAAATTTTGGCTTGTAATTTAAGCTTTTCATCGACCTTCTCAACAATAAAATGATGAATATATCCCTCCAATGCGTAGTTTAGGCCCTTTTGGTTACTTCTCAATGACATCTGATGGTTATGTCTCCAAAAATCATCAGTTGCCTCCTGTGAAATGTCGTGTACTGTGACACCTGCCATAGCGCCGCTCACTGAATGTTGATAGTTTGTCCGAGTGAGTGGAGGGGGCGTGGCTTAGCCATAGGTAAACTGCTGAATCAATGAGTGAACTTCCACCAATACGTCCTTGGTGTCATACGCCCCTGAAGGATCTCTATGGCTACGCTTCATTCACAGCCCTTAATTTGCATATTCTGTGTCATTTGTGTCGCCTCCATCGTGCATCCAATAACTTCTTTACATTGACTTCACATGTTATTCACTCACGCAAATTGTTTTTATTCAGACCTGGTGTGAACATAACGTCAGGCTCATCTGAGGCACAGACTGCACCTTCAACACATGAAACATAAAGCGTCCTATTAGAAATAGGATTAAAACCATCACTGGTTTAAAGAACACACACCTGAGGCTTCAGATTCTCAAGAAAAAGGTGTGCAATTGATCATTAAGCCGAGGTCGACTGGGTGCAATGCTGTCTATGGTAATGAGGAATGTTAGAGTCAATATGAGAGGTTGATAAGACCCTGTAAACATTTACAGGACTGGCTGTTGACTCAACTTTACCCTGACCTAGGTCTTTTAGATTCTTTCTTTTCAGGCCTCACGACTCTAACCAGGAACAATGAGGAAGTAAATACGGGAATTAGGACGTTTGGCTGGGATGGAAACAATCACCAATGTTCACCATGATCCATCCAACAAGATAAGGCTCAGCACGCCTGGTCTACGGAGAGAGACTCTGATGTGTTGCTGTGGTTCAGTTTAGTATCTCAGGGTTGGATAAAATAGTCTGATTATATAACACTGATCAACATCTGACAGCATCAAAAGAGCATCTCACCTCCTCCATAGACTTGACACAGGTAGGGAAAACGCCAGATGTTTCCAAGTCCCACAGCAAAGCCGATACACGTCAGCAGGTACTGGACCTTGTTGTCCCATTTGGGTCTCTCCTCCACTTCAGAGTTTTTTGTTTTGCCCATCGCCAGCTGGGAAAAATTCTTCTCACAGTTCCAGTTCTGTTACAAGGATGAAACTCTCCTAATCCTCACGCACACTTCAGCCAGGTGAGATAGACTTTAATTTGGCCCAGAATCCTCCACCTGATCTCCAGACTGAGTGATGTCCAGTCGTCCTCTCTTTTCCTCTTCTAGCTCTCTTTGCTGGGCCGTCCTCCTCTGACCTATCAGCAGCGAGGCAAGTTTTATTGTTTTTTTATTTTTTTATGAAGGAAATCAGGCCGTCAGGGAGGGAATGAAAACATCGGATATCGTGATTTAGTGGTCGAACCTCCCAGTTTTTTTCCTTTTTAATGGGACTGTGCTTAACTTTAGATTAATGGATAACCTGCTGATGCTGTTTCAATGTTACGCTGACACTAAAGCGCACACAGTCAATAAAAAAAGACACAGCTGTAGAATGATGAGGCCGTATCTTTATCCAATTATAAAACTTTACTCATACAGATGAGTTTAAGCATCGAAATAAAACAGGGAATGCTTTACAGAGAGCAAAGGGTGACGTTTGAATTCCTGTTTCACTACAAATGACTGAATATGTGCCATTTTTTAACTAAGTAATGTGTTTTAAATACTTTGGATTACCTCTGGAATACTTAAAAATCACCTTGCTGAGCTCATCTGTCTGGGTGTTATATTTCCCTCTGACATCATCGTGTGGCAGGTTCACTGCACACACACTTATTTAGAAGTCTGAGCAGGAAATTCAGGCCTCATGAATTTTACATCGTGTCCTAACAGCGAGCGAGCATCACTCTGTCCACACTGAATCTGTTTAATGTGAACAAAGCACCCGGGCCACCCATCAGCTGTGCGCTCCACTGGAGACCAAACCACTTAAAAGATGGGCGGATATATGTTGTGAAATGTAGTGGAAATGAAATGACTCTCCGCTTCAGTGGTGACCCCCCTCCAGCCAGCCGACGCCTTACCGCGCTCACGTGTGTGCGCTTGCACACGAGACCAGCGAAAGTACGTGAACACACATGAAGGCAGTGCCCATGTGTCACGGTCTCGCGCAAGCGCACACGTGAGCGCGGTGCCCAGAGAGGCAGTCAGAGCTACAGGCTACAATGAGGCTAAAAACAGAGTTCAAATGAGGTTTTTCCAAACAGCTTTTTATGTTGGGGCTTCAGGACACTTGGATCACTACGGACGAGCAGTATGGAGATATTTTGTGGTTTCAATTATGTGTTTTTGGACGTTTGAATCTGGGGCGCCGTCAGCCTCCATTAGGTGGAGTTGTGTTGCTACCTCCTCTCCCCTTGGATCTCTGCAAGTGATGTGAGGACTCTAAAACCTCCCTCGGCATATGGGTGAGTAGATAATGGCTGAATTTTCATTTTTGGGTGCACTATCCCTTTAAAAGGGGTTGGCAGCCTGCGGCTCTGTAGCCCTTCTCCAGTGGCTGTCTGTGGCTTTGACAAAAAAGTCACGTAACAAGAATAACGGTTATTTATCTGTTAACATTTTCTTTTTTTAATTATCACTGTTGTCGGAAATTCTGACATTTTCCAGCTGTAAAAATGTGTAGCCTCTGCTCTGAATTAAGAAAATAAATAAATAAAATTAAAGAAACTTTTAACATTTTGTCAGCTAAAATGTGCATCATCCATCCATCTTCTAACCACTTCATCCTGTTGGGGGTCGCAGGGGGCTGGAGCCTATCCCAGCTGACATTGGGTGAGAGGCAGGGTTCACCCTGGACAGGTCGCCAGATTATCGCAGGGCTGACACATAGAGACAAACAACCATTCACACTCACGAAAAATTTTGAGTTATCAGTTAACCTAGTCCCCAATCTGCATGTCTTTGGACTGTGGGAGGAAGCCGGAGTGCCCGGAGAGAACCCACACTGACACGGGGAGAAGATGCAAACTCCGCACAGAAGGGCTCCCACACCCAGGATTGAACCAGTAACCCTCTTGCTGTGAGGCGACAGTGCTAACCACCACACCACCATGCTGCCCCAAAATGTGCATCATACTATTTGTAATGTCAATAGGTTAATTGTTACTATAAGGCTCAAATATGTTTTGCAGATTATTTTGAATTACTTTTGGTCAAAAATGTCTCTTTTGACAGGTTTCTGACCCCCGTGTTAAAACTTTGTTTTAAATTAATTCAGTGCATAGGCTACACATTTTTACAATTAGAGAATATAAGATTTTCTTTAGGCCTACAAAAATGATGGATAAAACATAAAATATTTAAAATAAATAAATAACCATTTTTCATTTTAATGTGATTTTTTCTTTGTCAAAGCCACAGAGAGACGCTGGAGAGGAGCTACAGAGCCGCTGCTAAAGGCTCCGTCACTAATGTTTCTAATACAGTAAGAAGCAAAGAGGCACTTTAACAGTCTGTACAGTCTGTGCTGACAGGAACAGAGTCATCAGCTCCTCCTGTTTAATCTCTCCTTATCTGTACAAGACAAGTTATTATTGTTTAAAGGACTGTTTGAGCTGAGCTGAGGTCAGTATGTTACAGGAGTCGAGTTTTTGCAGATGCACGCACAGGTTTACTGTGAGGGAGAGAAAACCCACTGACCTTATGGTGTTGCAGCAGATCAGGGTTTAATTATTTTACTTATCTGCTTCTTTAAAGACTCAGTCAGCTATAATAACCCACCATGTCTGCATCTCCTGCCTGTGACTGTGAGTCCAGGTTCACTCTGTTCTCCTGTGAGCTGATAACTGACCTGTGTTTTTATGCTGGTTCAGGTAAAAGAAGTTTGAGGTCATCTCTGTACTGATGCTGGAATTATTAAGGCCCCGTCTCTACAGATGTTTTTGTGAAGGCAGATTTCTACGTTTGGGCCTCTCGTCCACATGCAAACTGAGATGGAGATTTATAAAAACTCTGGTTACTGTTAATCTGTGTGTTCACTAACAAAGACCTCGCCATATGTACGGTATAAAGTCCTTTTATTGGATGACTGGAGGATCAGGGATGACGGGGAGAGGGTCGGGTTCGATGGGATGATGGGAGGAGGGGGATGGATGGAGTCGGATGGAGGCTGGAGCTTTTATGAACCTGGCGGATCAAGACTCAGGGTGTGGGACACATCTCGATGAGCTCCGTGCTGCGTACCCCCCCCAGGGTTCATATTGGAGGTGATTAGGTGTTGTGATGTGATGTTGCTACTCTATTGTCCTGCTGAGGAGGAGGAGAGGAGGAGAAGAAGAGTTTGGGGAGGAAGGTCGTGAGGTGCACAGGCGTACAGGTGACTGAACTGATGAGGCACAGGTGGTTAAATCAACAAGGTGCAGGTGATTTGGATTAGTAGGAGAGAGAGGTGTAGTAGAGTTGGCTGGGCCACCTTAAAGGTCAGTCCATCTTAAGAGAGCCTGATTAGGTTTGAATGGGCTCCAGGTGTTGCTCGTTCATGCTCCTCAGGCTGCAGAGACACTGCTCCTCATCCCTGTGGCCAGAGTTTCCCTTCAGTTTCTCTCCTAACGAGGTGAATCCCTGTTCCTGCCCACTGAGAGCTGACTGAGAGGCCGTTTACACGTACACGGTGATTTTGATAAACGGAGACATCTTCCTTCGTTTGTGCCCTTCGTTTACACACAAACGGAGATTTCTCCTCTGAAACCGAGTCTTTCTAAAAACTCCGGCCAGAGTGGAGATTTTGGAAAACTCTGGTTGCGCGTTTGCATGTAAACTGAGATAAACGCAGATAAACGGAGTTATAGGCAGCCCACGTCACAGTATGCGCCGGAACTTGCGCCTGTGTAAAAAGTACGACCTATGTTGCTATAGTGACAATGGATACATGGAAGGCTTGAGCTTCTCGTTACACTGCCACCTACAGGTTTGGCATGCTCTTGTGTATATATACACGGGTAAGTGTAAACGAAGATCTTTTTGAAAACGGAGACAGTGAAATGTCCGTTTATGAAAATAGCCGGCAACGTGTAAACGGCCTCTGAACCTTTTCATGGCTGCTACGCGCTGCTGCTGTTTTGTCTTTAAAATGTATTTAACTTTTGTAAACGTTATATTAACAGTAGAGAAAGTGGCGCAATCTTCCACCGAGCCCCTCAAGACTCCACTCCTGTTGCACGGTTGAGTGAATCTGTTTCTATGGAGACGTGTAAACAGGATAGACGGAGATTTTGGAAAAAGATGACGTTGCAACCCAGTTCGCACATGCCCATTAGGCGCCCGGGAACCACAACAACAATGGTGGATATATGCCGGGTTGTTTTGTTAGCACTTTTGGGACTACTTACGAGCTAACAAACAAACTTAGCACTGCTGCATCAACATCACTGCTACACTGGCGCACAAAGACGTCTGCTGTGCCCAATATTAGTAAGTGTACAGTAGCTAACGATGCTACATAAGGTTAAAATGTAGTTCATCATTGTTTTTATCACTAGCGCCCAGAGGAAAGCAAATCACTGTGCATGCGCAGAACATTCTTGTATGGTGTTTGACATATGGCGTATCGCCACCTACTGGCCTGGTGTGCTAACTGCAGCAAAAAGCTGCCGTTTCTGCGTTTTCGTGTAAACAGGGATATCGTTTTCACAGCTGATCGAGTAAACCAGAATTTTTTTTTAAACAGGATAAATAAATCCGTTTTTATTTGTATCGGTGTAAACAAGGCCCAAAACAGCCACATTTTTATGTATGTTCAGGTTTTAGCTTCTCCTGGGACTGTCACAAAGGTTTTTATGGTTGCCAAGAATCATTGTTACTACTTGGAATACTTTATCAATACACGTGGTCAACATGTAGGAAGCCATATTTCAATCTACTCTGTCTGCAGTCAGCCATTCACTGCTATTATGGTTTACAGTCCCCGTTTACACAAGCACATCGTCCTTGCAGGGCAATTAAACATTAAACACACACATTAAACACAATAAACACACATTAAACACACACATTAAACACACATTTAACACACACATTAAACACACATTAAACATTAAACACACATTAAACACACATTAAACACATAGTAAACACACAGTAAACACACATTAAACACAGTAAACACACATTAAACATTAAACACACATTAAACACACATTAAACACATAGTAAACACACATTAAACACATAGTAAATACACAGTAAACACACATTAAACACATAGTAAACACACAGTAAACACACATTAAACACATAGTAAACACACATTAAACACATAGTAAACACATTAAACACATAGTAAACACACATTAAACACACAGTAAACACACATTAAACACACATTAAACACAAATTAAACACACATTAAACACACAATAAACACACATTAAGCACACAGTAAACACACATTAAACACACAGTAAACACACATTAAACACACATTAAACATGGCTTAATAGAGACAGTTTCAAACACAAATCAGCTTCACTATAACTCGCAGCATTCACAGACAAACACTTGTCTTTATCTGGACACATTTTCCCCACAAATACAACATGCTAACGTTATTAGCACAAGCCTATGGCATTTCACATTGTATAAATTAGCCTAGCAGCTAGCAGAG